TTAGCGTTCACAGCGTGCTTTTTTCTCCGCGCTGTTGTCGCGCTGTGATGACGTCAGCTACGCGGTTTCGTCGAGCGCCCTTTAGTGGTGGAACCGAGAACCCCTGGCACCCTCTGTGGCTGGGCTGGGAGGAATCTCTGCAAAGGTGGATTTTGATCCCCTTTTTTGGGAATCTTCTCCAGGGGCCTCTGAAGGTGGCTGTGGAAGAGACCCCCTCAAGGGGCCCCTGAGGGTGCAGACCGAGCCTTGGAGCTTCTGCCTGGCCAGTGGTGGCACAGGTGTGGCTTCATTCCAGGGGCCCATAGTGGGAGATGGGCAGCTGGCTTGCCACCCCTGGCAGCTCCCATGTTTGGCATCAGAGGCACAAGGAGCCTCCGGTGCTGGGGCTGCTCCCCTGGCAGGAGGAGGAGTTGCCCAGAGCCCTATGAAAGATTGCCGGGGTGGGGGGTTGCGTGCAGGGCTTGGCCAGGAGGTGTGATCCAAGGGACGGGGCGGGGGAGGTAAGTGGGGGCAAGGCACTCACCTGGCACATAGCCCCTGTAGTGGGGCAGGAGGCCGCTGTCTGTGGGGTATGTCTTGGCCAGGGGTGGGAGGGGACCCCCCCTCAGTGAAGAGTCCCGCCCCGTTTTCTGCAGCATCTCCTCAAACTCCACCATTGCCCGGTGGGCAAGAACGGGGTAGCTGGCTCCAATCAGGAACTGGAGGCGAGGCACAAAGCCAGTGAAACCTGTGGGAGAGAGTGGGGGGGGGTTAAACCCTCAGGACCCTCCTGCGAGGGAGCCCGGCCCCTCCCTCCTGCAAACGGGCAGTCCCGGCCTGGCCCCGACCGATTGGTGGAGGTTCCAGCCAGTCAGCTGCTTCTGGGACTGTCGGTGCCAAGTGTCGGCTCCGCCAGACAGACAGAAAACTCCCTCTCGTTCCTGAGCCCCAAAACACACCCAGGGGGACCCACAAGGGTTCGTGGTAATGAGAAGAACCCCCCTTTTCCTGGAAGGCAAGCTAGCGCATTTCCACACATGGCCTCTTAGCAAATAAAGTAAGTGGTGCCCCCCACGGGGTCTCCTCTGCAAGCCCCTCTGCTCCCAGGCCTCCTTTGACACAAACCCTGACCCCCCCCAAGCCCCCGGCCCTCGCAAGAACCCCCAAAGAGACTCGTGGCTCACAGGCCTGGCTCTTGGAACACTTTGGCAGAAGGAAGGGGGAAGCCGCAGCTGGTGTCATGCCAGGAGAAGAGGCTGGGGAGCCCTAAGGGGCACCGATGGGGGTCTCTTCTGCACTAGTTGGAAAGGGCATTTCATCCTCTCTCCTGGGAGACTGAGGGAGATCCCCCTGGCCCGCTTGCTCCCTCCTCCCCTCGGGGGCCCGAGGCCTCTGGAGCCTTACCTGGAACAAAGGTTCTCTGCAGCGCGGGGGCCGTTCCTGAGGGCCGGAAAGCCAGGGTGGAGGCAGCAGCGGCAGTGCCAGTCGTGGGCAGGGCAGGTAGAGGCTGGGGGGCAGAGCAGAGTCATCCGTGAGTCCCTGGAGGCCTCTGGGCACCTGGAGGCTCTTGCAGCTCCTCTCGGTGATGCAGCATCTGGCAGAGAAGGCAGGGGGCCCCAAGAAGGGACCCCAGAAGACCCCCCAGCCTGTGGCCACACGTACTGACGGCCAGCAAGATTGGAGGGGGCTCCTCACAGAGGCCTCTTCATTTTGCATTGTTGTTTTGGGAGACCCTCATGCAGAGAGACCCAAAATTTCATTTTATTGGTTTTGTATGCCGCCCACTCCCGAAGGACTCCGGGCGGCTTACAATAAAACAGGGAAAGGGGATAAACAAGACAATACAACAATTTAAAATACGACAACATTCACAGATGAAGTGGGGCTGGATACTTCAACAGCCCCCAGCCTGCCGGAACAGCCAGGACTTAGTAGCTTTACGGAAGGCCGGGCGGGCAATAAGGGTCCAGATTTCCACAGGGAGCTCGTTCCAGAGGGCCGGAGCAGCAACAGAGAAGGCTCTCCCCCGGGGGGTCGCCAGCCGACACTGGCTGGCAGATGGAATCCGGAGAAGGCCAAGCCTGTGCGATCGAATAGGTCTTTGGGAGGTAATTGGCAGGAGGCGGTCTCTCAGGTACCCAGGTCCGATGCCATGAAGGGCTTTATAAGTAACGACTAGCACCTCAGGGAGGAATGGAGGAAGCTTTTGACCCATAGTGGGATTCTATGAGAATGGAAAACTGGAGGCCCCCCTCCCCTGTGTCCCCCTCCTCAAGCCATGACCCAGCTGGGAAGCCTCTGCTGGGATGTGGAGGGGAAGTCCTCATTTCACAAGTTGGGAGGGGGGAGCAGCAGAGCTCAGGCTGTGCCCCTTTTTGTCTCTTTGCCCCCAGCCTCCTCTGGAACGGACCTCTCCCCCTCAAGGGTGGGGCTGGAGTGAAGGGATCCGGCCCTTCTCCAGGAGATGCTCTTGAGCCCCCAGCCCCCCCCCCCATCACTCCATGGCTACCAGCAGCCATGCCTGCCACTTACTCTGCTTTCCAGCTGGGGGGCTTCGGTTGCCTCCCTGGCTTGGTCCCGGGCCCCTGACTCCTGCGGGGGTGCAAATTCCAGCCAGGCCTCCCTGCAGATTTCTCCGTAGGTCTTGGCGAAGTGGTGCTGCACCCTGGGGACGAATCCTGCCAGGAGACACAGGAGAGCTGGAAGGAGGCGAAGTGGGGCCCCAGGAAGGCTCGGTCCTCGGGTTCTCTGCTCCAGGCAGGGCCATCACCACCACGGGCACAGCTGGTGACCCTTTCCCACCCTCTGAGATAGAGGGAAGACTGACTTGCTGGCACTGGAAGTTCTGGCCCCCTCTGCAAGGGGATCACTAAGGGGGGGGGAAGGCTGTGTCTAGCCAACCCCCCAGGACCCCCAATACAACCTCTCCCTCCCCCCTTTGCTTTGCTGAGTCCAGACCACCCCCCATCCTCCTGCAAGGGTCGAGGGATGTCTTCCCAGCCCCTCGCCCATTTTCCAGGGGCCCTCCTGGCTCTCTCAGCCGGGGAGAGCCCACCTCTAGGCGCCACTTACCGGTATAGCCCGGGATCCCCATGCAGGCTTTGCCCCGCGCCCTCCGGCCGAAACCCGGCCGCTCCTTTGGGGCGCGGAGGGCGCAGTTGGGCTGCAGGAGGAGCCGGCCGGAGCGGCCGGGAGCGGCCAGCAGCTGCGACGTGAGCTTCCCGTAAGTCTGGCCCAGGCAGAACTTGTGGCGGGGACAGTAGCCGCCGTATCTGCGAGGACAGGAGCAGAAGAGGAGATGCCCCCCCCCAAAGCCCCCGTCAACCTTCAGGCTCTTCAGCGCTCCGGGCTCTGCGACCCCCCAGCCCTCTCCCAGACCGCCCCCCACCCCTCCCAAGCTCAACGGCTCCTCCGAGCGGCCCGGCTGAAGTTGCCCGAGAGCCGGAGCTCAGAGCCACAGCCCTGCTTGGCCCGGCTCTTGGCTTCGGGGCGGCTGCCGAGGCTCTGGCCGGAAGGTGCGGGACCCCCGCCGCCTTTAGCGCCTCGGCGGCGGCTTCCGCGGGCGGACGGAGGGAGAGGGGTGCCCTCCTGCCAGCCAGCCCAGCCCACCGCCGCCCGTTACATGCGAAGAGTCTGCGTCTGCCCCCCTACCCGAGGACTTCCACGCGCAGCTTCCGCCCCCCTCCCACCCCCCAAGTCGCCCCGCAGGCTCTGCCCCGGTGGGCGGCGTGGCAGAGAAGGGGCGGAGGGAAGGTCGGGGGGGGGGGCTGGGAGAAATGCCCTCCAGGGCGGCTCTTACCCGGGGAGGAAGTGGGGCTCCGGGGTCATCAGCACCTGGCTGAGTTTGGGGGCAAACGCCGCCGTCGCCGTCGGTCCCATGATCTGCGGCGCGGCTGGCCTGAACCCTGGCTGGGAAGGCTTTTATGTGTGTTGCGGGGAGGAGCTGCCGGCTGCCCGGGGAAACCGTCGCCAGGCAGACGCTTGCCAGGCAGGGGGGCAGAGGGGCCAAGCCTGCAGCCGGAGAGGAGGAGGAGGGGAAAGGGAGACTTTGGCTGCCTTCAGTGCAGCGGAGGGGGGGATCCCTTTCTCCCCCCAGTCTTTCCTTGGTAGCGCCTTCTTCTCCCAAAGGGCCAGGCTGGGTGTCCCACAGAATTTCTGGCTCAGCAGCCGGCATGGGGCAGAAAGGCCCAGGAGGGAAGGTAGCCCTGGAAGGGGGGAGATCAGGAGGGAGGGGTTGGGCGTGGCCAGGCTTGGCATGGCCAGGAAATGCCCTCTGAGAAAGGGGCGGGGGTGTGTGTGTGTCCGTGTGAGGAGGTCGAAGCTGGGCTCTTGCAGGCCTTCAGTGGGGAGCTGAAAGGGGCCAGGAGGAGGGCTGGGCCCCTCCCCTTCAGGAGACCCTAGAAATCAGCCTCCTGCTTAGCCATAGCCTCCCCCAGACGAGGTAACCCCCCTCCCCATTCAGGCTGAGATGAGCTTCCCAAGCCTTGAAGGAGGTGTGGGGGGGGAGGGGTGGCGGAGAACGAAGGTGCCCAAGAAGCCTCAGTGGCCCTTCCTCTTGCAGAATCCCCCTCCCCTCCTTCAGCCTTCCTTTCCTGCCCCTCCCTTCCTTCGGCCACTGATTCCTCTTTGGCTTTGAAGCATTAACCGCTGGCTTTTGGAGGTCAAGGCGGGGGGGGGCTTCTCCAGGGGGTGTTCCAACCACAGGGATATCAGACTGACACCCTCCCCCGCACAAACCCCTGGAGGTCACCAGAGGAAGAATTCTTGCTTTGCCTGCCTAGAAAGCCTGATTTGGAGACCGTTCCCTGGTGCATGGGGGGGGGGGGCAGACTCAGCGCTCTGAAGACCCCTGCAGACCTCCTTCAGTGCAGAGGGATTTCCCCAGCATTCCTGCTGCTGTGGCCCCCGAACACAGGGAAGGCAAACCTATGGCCCATGTAGCCGTTCGCCTTCCAGGTTCCTGGCGCGCATGCATGCACGCGTGAGAATCAGCTGGCCTTCATGTGTTCATCAGTGCCGAAAGCTGGAAGAGCTGGCCTTCTGTTTTCTGCCGCAAGCATGGGTGCCAGCCAGATGATCATTGCGCGTGCATCTGTGCCAGTAACTGGACGTTTAGCTGGCTCATGCGCATGCCGGAAACCAGAAGTGCGTTTTCCAGTGCACGCCTGCCCCCTGGGCCACTCCTCTTCCAGATGCGCGCACGAGCTCCCTTTTTTTGGCACTCGGTTCTGAAAATAGCAATAGCAGTTAGACTTATATACCGCTTCATAGGGCTTTCAGCCCTCTCTAAGCGGTTTACAGAGTCAGCATATTGCGTCAAAAAGGGAAGAGATCTGTAGAATTCAATGCAATCTAGATTTTTTG